AAAAAAAAAAATAGAACTATGTTTGGTTCCCTAACTTGTAGGCATCTCTGTTCTGCCACTATTTATTGAGCTTTGGTCTGGAGGCAGAAAGGTGGGCTTCAGCTTTCTGTCATGGCCACCCAAGAGGGTCCTCTGCAAGCCAAAAGGGGCTCCTGGCCCTGTCACGAGGAGTCATGGGAGGATTCTGGGACTGATTCTGAGCAGAAATCAAAAAGCAGCAAGGCATTGGTAGGGATGGGGTTAGGAAAGGGAGAGGTGATCCTTGCAGGCCCTAGAGATGGGGGAAACCAGTTCCTCCTGTCTTTCTGGCCTGAGGGAAGGGTTACATCTCTGACCATGAAGAGCCACCACCATTGTATGGGAGGCTGGCTCTGTGCTATGGGCTGACCTGGTCATCAAAAACAGGAGCCAGTGCCAGAACTTTGTCACTTGCTGGCTGACTGGGGTGCTTGGCTCACCTGTTTGTGAGGGAAAGGATCTAGGTTGATGTTTCATTGGAGTCTCTGTTCCTATTTAGCAGTGACTTGGGGGTTTCAGGTTGCTTATAATCTCTGAAGTACAACCCTTTCAGGACCACCTGTTCTGGTTGGTGCAAGACCACCTTTCCTTCCAATGGTGCCCCGTGGCCATTCAGTCCCATATGACCACCTCAATCCCCTCATGATGGTAGCAGGTACAAAGGAACATCTATTGTACAGAAAGAAATGTGAGGGTGAGGCTGTAGATGTAGCCTGCAAGGACTCTGCTGTGGGGTCCTTAGAAAGCACAGGCCTTGGAGAAGGCTCTCTCCCTTCTCAAGGGACCTAGCAATTACAGCTGGTGATAAACCTGCTGTTTGTCCTAATTAGCAGCCTTAATACTTTATGCAAGCCATTAACAGGCTGGTGTCCTGGATAAACATCTTTATAAGTAATTAGTAATGTTGTTACTCTAATCCATAATCAATACCTGGGTAATTGCTTCCTCGGGTTTATATTTAGTCCTTGAGGTCTCAGTGCTACAAGGAACATCCATCTGCAGACATGCTAATGGGCTTGTGGAGGTCACTGAGAGCCCGGCTCACCCAGGTATCCCCAGGAGCTGGGGCTTTGGGTCAGATAAGGACATCTGGGATCATTTGAAGGCTCTGGTTGCCATGCCTTCTGGCCCACCCAAGACTTGGGCTAAAGCTCTGGGACCAGAAGGACTTTCAGAAACCAAGACCACAGGAAACATCCCCATTCCCAACATCCAGAAGTCTGCAAAGGGTACTATGGATGGTCCCTAGGCTAAAGATGTTACAATATCATGGTCTTCACATTCCTCCTCCACTCTCCACTTTAGATTCAAGCACAGCTCCTGTCACCTCCTCAGCTTGCCCGGAAGGCTGCGGCTGAGCCTGGTTTCTTCTCTTTCCAGGGCTGAAAACAGCATTGGTGGCTCAAGGTCAGGCCAGAGTGGCAGGAGAAGGAGCCTGTCAAAGACTTCCTTATGAATGGGCTCCCATCTGACTGTAATTGGAATTAATATGAAGGCCTGCTTCCAGGAACTTCTCCAGCAAACGAATCTGGGCCGTAAAGGTCTGAGCTGGAATGCTCCGAAAGCCAGCCATAAATCTCTCCCCAAAATGATGATGCACAAGCTAATTGCTCTGGAGGCACCCCGTTCACCCTTTGGAGCCAACATGTCATTCTGCGTCCTCTCAGGCTCTGCCGCTCACCGGGAACAGGGCCAAGGAGAGGTGGATGGGAGTTGGCAAAGTCACCGTGAAGGAAAACATTTTAATTCATTTAATTATGAGCCTCTCAGAAATTCAAGCTCTGTTTCTTCTTGAGCTGGTTAAAGGAAATGAGAAGTGACATGTTCCCACCCCCACCTTCCCCTTGGCCAAGGAAGCTCAAAGCTGGAAGTGTGGGGTATGGGCAGCGTGGGGATGTGCATATCCAGGAGCTAGGCCCTGGGGGCCTGTGGGGGCCAGTGGCCCAGCCTGAGCAGACTCATGCTGGCCACTGCTCAGCCTGTTGTCTGTCTGTCTTTCTCTCTCTCTCTCTCTCTCTCTCTCTCTCTCTCTCTCTCTAAGCCACACACACACACACACACACACACACACACACACACACACACATTCACCAATGCAATTGACATTGTCTTCTTCTCTTTCATAATGATACAGTTTCACCTTGGATTTACCTTCTGTGGTATGCCTAATTTTGTACTTTCTTCCTTTTCTAAGTATATTTGTGATAGCAAAATGGTGATAGATATAAAACTTCAAATAATAACCATAAATTTTTAAATAATAATCAACAAACTTTAAAATTACAAGCACAAGCCCTTCACCAGAGTATTTCTGCCCATCTGTCACTTCCATTGATGATGCATGACACATGTTCCCAGTGTGCACCATCTATGGACTGGATTCTACTCTAGTTTTTGAGACTGTAGACAAGTTCCCATTATCAGGAGCTTACATCTCTTTGGGAAGAAAAATGAATGAAGACAGATGTCCCAAACTGGGTGGGAGGAGGCACATACACAAGAAGCTCCCAATCCAGCTTCTGGCCCAAAGGATAGCGAGTCCCTGGGGGAACAGACCGCACGGAGTTAACTCTGCTCCGCTCTGCCTACCAATGGAAGAACCCAGGTACTCTGACTTCTTCCCAGCCCATGCTACTCCACTTTAATGAACAGCTGTTTGGCCTTCCTAGGCTGCCTGAACCTAGCTGGCAGGTAGAACATAAGCCTGAAAGGCTATGAGGATGTTGAGACTTTATTGTACTTCACTGTTTAGAACAGCAAGTGTAGAGGCCAGAGAGAGCAAAACACAAGGCCAGGGCTGCACAGAAGCAGAATGAAGAGCCAGGCCTTGGTCCCACCCTATGTTTCCAGGCCTAGGCCCACCTATTCCAGAGAAGGTGACAGGCGAGGGACGGGCTTAATTCTAATCTGTGCCTGGAGAGGCCCAGCCAGTTCTTCCCAGGAGAGACAAGGAACCCTCTGGCCAGTGCTGCATCAGGAAGGGACAAATAGCATCTGCTCACTAGAGAGTTTTAGTGGCTTCCTCAGTTCCTTGGCTTCACTGAGTCTTCCAATAAGCCTGGCCTCTGACCCTGTGTGGGCATTTCCCCAAGCTGGAGGCCCTGGCCATACAGTCCACGCTTCTTCAGACAGGCCAGCAGATGGCACCCAGCAGTGTCTAAGGGTCTGGAGCCAGCCATCTCTGAGCATCCATCCATTCATCCATGTTGCAGCACCTTACTGAACCTCATCAGAAATGAGATGGTCCATCCTACCCCATGCGACCCTAGCCAGGAGACAGAAAATAAACACACAAAAAAACGAACATGAAGGGATTTCAGGGAATGGGAATGGCAGTGACCCAGGCTGACGGGTGCGGGGGGGGCATCATTTAGGGTGATAGGTAGCTTCTCCACTGAGGTGACCCATGAGGAGATGTACATATAGCTGTCCAGAGTGAGGCAGCAGCAGAGCAAAGGCTCGTGTCAGGCATGAACCTGGTGCATTCAGGTGGGAGGGAAAGAGTGTACAACAGCTTCAGGGTTCAGCAAGTCAGCAGAGTGTGAAGGCCAGGGGATCTTGGGGCCTGGGGCGTCGATCCCATTCTAAGTGCAGAAAGCAGGGTTTGCAGCAAGAGTCCACCTGGATGATACTTTCATAAGAGTAAGTCCAAAAGGGTTCTGGATGCCAGGCTGAGGAGAGGGGCTTCCTGGAAGAAACAGAAGGCTCAGGATTTTCAGCCGGGAACTAGTAGGGTCTTTTCACTCACCTCCTGCCCCTTGCCCTGCTCAAGCCCCAATCCCTATAGGCCTTGCCTCTGGCAGCTTTGGGAACCGGACCCTCTTTAGGGAGTTTACATAGATGTGCAGGTGCTTGGTGCCAGCTTTATTCCTTTCAGCCATCAGACCTGGGACAAGGCCTTACTTCTCCAATTCTGTTTCCTTCTCTGGAAAATAGAGTTGGAATTTTAGACAATCACCAGCTATTCCAGTCAAACACCACACAAGAAACCATTGGCCCCATCCCTATCCACAACCTCCAAGTCAGTGGGAAGCTGAGACTTCCACCCTGGACAGGCGATAATGATGTTGAGTTAGGTTCTTCACTGCTGTGATCAAAAGACCTGACCAGAACAATTTTAGAGGAGAAACCTATTTGGCACTCGTGGTTCGAGAGGTCTCAGTCCCGAGACAGCCAGCTTCATTGTTCCGGGAGCCTGGTAAGGAGGAACATCCTGGTGGAAGAGTGTGGCGGAGGAAAGCAGCTCAGGGCATGGCCACCAGGAGGCAGAGAGAGTTCCTCACCCAGGGACAAAATAAAAACCCCAAGGCATGGCCCCCAGGGACCCATCCCCTCAGCCACAGCTTACCTACTTACAGTTACCACCCAGTTAAACTTCCTTGTGCTGTCTCGTACCTGAGCTTGTGGGAGACACCTCACATCTGAACTATGACAAATGAGGCACTTCAGCCTCCGTCTCGGGTGGTGTCAGAGAGGGGAAGTCAGGATCTTCATCCCCGCGAGGCCCCCTTCCCTGGCTGGAATAAGTGGATTAAGAGCAAGGTGCTTCTCTACCTCCCAGCCAGTGTGCTCTTGTCAAGGCCCAGTGGGGAGTGGAACTCCCACCCTGAACAGCAAGGAGGTATCAACCGAGGCCAAGTGGGGAACCAGGACTTCCATCCCCACCTTGAAATACCAAAGCAGTGACTTCCTCCTACCCTCATCCCAACCAGAGTGGGGTCAGAATCCAGTCGATTAAAATTCAGAATCATCCTTATGACATCATACACAAATCATCCTGGTGTCAACAAAAGATCCTCACATGGAGATCAGGGAAAACTCAACTTTAATGGGAAAAAAAAATCTCTAGATACCAACACTGAAAAAACAGAGATGTTAAAATGACCTGGAAAAGAGATTAAAGCCATCACCAAAATGTTTCAATGATCAATCATGAGCAAGTTTGAAACAAATAAAGAATAAAAAATCTCAGCAAAGAAATAGAAGAATAAAAAATGGAAATGTTAGAACTGAAAAAAATATGATAACCAAAATAAAAATAACAGATGAGCTTAACAACAGAACGGTGGAGACAAAGGAAATGAGTAATTAAACTTGATCTACAATGTGATGAAGAAAAAAAAAATGCAGTGCCTCAGAAACCTGTGAGGATATGATGAGAGATCCAATATGTGTGTCACGAGAGTCTCGGGAAAGGAGAAAGAGTGCACCTTTCAAGGTACTCAAAATCATAGCTGAAAAGTTCCAAAATTTGGCAAAAGGCATAAACATATAAACTCAAGAAACAGGTTTTCAAATTGGATAACTATGCCCTCCCACAAAATAAAAACAAAACAAAACAAAACACAACCAAAAAACCCAAGAAACATCTAAACTTCTGAAAATTGAAGAAATTGAAAAGACCTCTTACCACTTATGGGAAAAACTATCTGAACAACAAAAGATTTCTCATCTGAAAACACAGAGAACAAAAGGCAGTAGCACACATTTTTCAAGGGCTGAAAGAGAAGTGTCAACTGAGAATTCTATATCCAGTGAAAAGGTTCTTTAGGAACAAAGGGGAAATCAGCAAAGGGGGAATCATTCATTCTAAAATGAAGTGATTTTAAAAATTTTGACAATTTAAAAGAATGAGGAAAGGATGTTCTCTGAACAAAAAGAAAATATTAAAAGGAAAGAATCCTAGAATATCAGGAAGAGAGAAAACAACAAAAGTAAGATATGGATAAAATTTAAAAAAAGAATAAAAAACATTCTACAGTGTTCTAAGTTATGTTTGATAGTTCTAGCAAATATTACACACTATCTTATATGTTTCTAAATGCATATAAAGACACTATTTAATCACATTATATATCATGAATATGAAAGGGCAAAATGATCTAAAGAAGTTAAAGTTTCTACATTTCACTTAAACTGGTAAGATGTTGACACCAATAGACTCTTATTATATACATGTATATCGTGATATGTATAATACACAGAGCACTCTCTAAAACTTTTTTACAAAAGATTCACTCCAAAACACTATAATGAAATTAGAGTAAATTTGAAAAATTCTTAATTTTCCCACCAGAAGGCAAGAGGAGAAAAATAGAGAAATAAAAACAGTAATAACAAATAGAACACACAAAAGTAAAATGGAAAATTCAAGTTCTCACATACCAATAAAAATTGCATAGAATACAAATGGTATAAATACAGGAAATAAAAGATAGAGATAGGCAGAGTGAAATCATGACCCAGCTATATGCTGTTTATGAAAAACTTACTTCAAGTATAATGATAAAGGTAGATTGAAAGTAAAATGATGGAAAGGTTATATAAATATTAGTCAACAGAAAGTTAAATTAATATGAGTCTCTAAATTAATATGAGACAAAGTACACTTAGAGCAAGGAAAATTACTAGGGATATAAACATAGAAATATAATGATAAAAGGATTGATCCATCAAGAAGGTATAACAATATGAATAGCATCAAACATCAGAGCTGCAAAATAAGTGAAATTTGATGAAACTGAGAGAAGAAATAGACAAAACCAAAATTATGGTTGGCAAATTCATCACTTCTCTTTCAATAATTTATAGAACTATTAGAAAAATCAGCAAGAATGTAGAACTCAACAACACTATCAACCAACAGGGTCTATTTGGCAGTTTCAGGTAACTCTATGCATCATCCATTAGAACACATTCTTTTTACCTGCCTGTGGAATATATTCAAAAATAGACCATATTCTGGTACTGAAAAAAAAAACTCAACAAATTTAAAAGAATCGAGATCATGCAGATCATGTTCTACAATCTCAGTAGTATTTGAACTAGAAATCAATAATAGATAACAGGAGAATCTCCAAATGTTTTCAAAATAACACCCTTCTAGATAATCTATGGGTCAAAATGGAAAATCTCATAGAATGGAAAAGACATAGAATGGGATGAGAACAAAAATGCCATCAATCAAAAATAGTAGGACACTGCTAACGTGAAAAGAAAGTCTATGGCACTAAAGTGCCTACATCAGAAAAGAGAAAACCTCTTGGATTAGTAATCTATAGTTCCATATAGAACCTAGAAGAAACAGAGTGAAATGAACCCAAAGCAAGCAGAAAAAATAATACGAATAAGAGCAGATATTGATGAAATCTGAAACAGAGAAATATTAATAAAACCAATGAAGCAAAAAATCTGATTATTTGGAAATATCAGTAAAGCTGACAAAACTTTTATAAGGCTAAAAAAGAAGAGAGAAAACACAAGCCACCAGTATCAGAAATGAAACAGGAGGATGCCGTCACAGAGCCACAGATAAGACTGAACAACTCTCCATACATAAACTTGACAATTTATATAAAATGGATAAATTCCTCAAAAATCACAAACTACTAAAACTCGCTGAATATAAAATAGACAAAGAAGAGAGATTGGATTAATAATTTAAAACCTCAGAATAAGGAAATCTCCAGGCCCAGTGTAATCTGTACCAAATATTTAGAGAAGCAGTAACACCATTTCTACACAATCACTTTTAGTTATAACAAAAACAAATACTTCCTGATATGATTGCTAGTATTGCTCTGATACAAAACCAGACTAAGACAGTATGAAAACTGTAAGTCAATATTCCTCATGAATATAGATACAGAAATTCTTGACAAAATATTGGCAAATAGAATTTAGCACTATATAAAAATAAAAATAATTAGTCACCATGACCAAATGGAGTTTATTCCAGAGATGCAAAGTCTGTTTCAATGTGAAAATCAATCAATGTAATCCATTTTATTAACTGGATAACAGAGAAAAATCACAAGATCATAGCAAATGAAGAAGAAAAAGTATTTAACAAATTCAGCACCCTTAGGGGGGAAACAAATATGGAGAATGACTACTTAATTATTCTGGGGTTTCTCTTTGGGGTGATAAACATGTTCTGGAATTGGTTTTATGACATTGAGAATGTCCTAAATGACATCGACTGTACATTTTTAAATGTTTAAGATGTTTTAATTTATGTGTATTTTGTGACAATAAAACAAATTCAATGCTTTTCTATGATAACCCCAGAAAAATAAGAATAGAGGGGCACTTCCTCGACTTGCCCAACAGTATTTTTTTCTAACAGTATTTTTTTTATTGGTTGTTCAAAACATTACAAAGCTCTTGACATATCATATTTCATATATTAGATTCAAGTGGGTTATGAACTCCCAATTTTACCCCAAATACAGATTGCAGAATCACATCGGTTACACATCCACATTTTTACATAATGCCA